TCAGTAGTATTGTTTCCTTTCTACACCTGTCAATTGTTTGGCTGAAAATTAAGCCATGGAGATGAGTTCAGTTTCAGACCTGAAGAGTGGCCAAAAGCCATAGTTTCAGGGTTCCACTTGTCTCTTTCTGACCAGGAAACTTGGTTGTTTCTGTATTTTGAGTTTTGTTTCACCTTTTCTCTCACTCTATCCAGGACCTTTTAATGTGATCCCTTTCAGAACAGTTGATAATGGTAGCTGGGAGCTACCTGAAACCATTTTGGTTTCAGGGCCTTAGAGACTGATGTTCATGTATCACATTAAATTTTTTTTTATTCATATTAAGCTTTATTCTGAATCAACCAGCTATCAGAGTGCAAGTCAAAAAGTAGAATAAATAAATAAATAAAGGAGCCCATCAAAAAATTCCTGGTCAGTAGGAGGGAGGGCACAATGTTAGGATCCCTGTTTAGAGAATGAAATGTTCTCCAGGTTATGGATGCCATTTTTGTCAATGACTCGAACGCTGAAGGTTGGCAGATTCAGGATGAAGCGTTTCTGGAGCTCCTCCAGACATTTCCTAAGAAGCTCCACTGCCTTCTCACGTGAGATAGTTGGTGTATAGTATTGATCCAGGATACTAAGAGTCAGGAAGGCACCATAACCATGGGCTGCAAAAGGAGCCTTTGCCAAGGCCGCCAAATAGTCCATGTAGTAGAGTGCTGGACCCTCATGCTCATCGTAGCCAGAAGGAGGTTGACATGATAGGAAGTCGTACTCCAAAGACAGTCAGCCAGGTTTTGGCGAGTGAAATTTGCTGCTGCTGTGGGAGACCATTCATATCCATTTCGCATCTTAATAAAGCTGTACATTTTTCTGAATATATTCTGCAAATTGCACAGTGTCACCAGCCTTTCCAACACAGAGGAGTAAGATTTTTTCACTCATCTTAAACACCTTGTCATGATTGTCCTTCATCTGGACAATATTGCTGGTGGCCACGCGGTCGGTGGTGACCAGGACGTAGTCAGGGCCCTGGATGCCGATGAGGTACTCCATAGTAGAGGGAGGCAGGAAGTGGTAGGTTTTGTCTACAGAGCTCATTTGGGTCTCACTGGCTTCTCGGCCTCACCGGTGAGACAGCACAGCAGAGCACTCACATTAAATTTTGTTTACTATTCTTTCATTAGTCTTAGCAACAGGATTGATAGGAACTTTACTGGTGCTAATATTACAAACTCATAGTGTCCAAATCTAAAATGATGCCATTTACTATGACTCTGAGAAAGTTCCTCATCTCTTACAGCCTAAGTTTTTCATCAGTGAAGTGAGGACAATAGCACCACATGTGTAGACAGGTTGGCTATAAAGATTAAATAGGACTATGCATGTTATACGCTTATCACAGTGCCAGCGTATGTTGTTAACTGCTGTTGAGTTGGTTCTGTATAGTTTCTGAGGAGCAGCTAGTGAGCTTGAACTGCTGACCTTGCAGTTCAAACTGACTCTGCACTCCAATTAATCTACAGAGCCACACCAGGACTCCATAAATCACAAATCACATTTGTTGTTGTTAAGTGTCGTAGAGTCGGTTCCGACTCATAGCGACCCTGTACAGGGTTTCCGAGGCTGTAAATCTTTACGGGAGCAGAAAGCCTCATCTTTCTCCTGCGGAACAGCTGGTAGTTTCGAACTGCTGATTTTGAGGTTAGCAGCCTGATTCGTAACCACTCTAGTAGCGAAGTGGCTATGAATCGGGCTGCGAACCGCAAGGTCAACAGTTCAAAACTACCAGCTGTTCCGCAGGAGAAAGATGAGGCTTTCTTCTCCCGTAAAGATTTACAGCCTCGGAAACCCTGTACAGGGTCACTATGAGTAGGAACCGACTCCACGGCACATAACAACAACAACAACAACGTTTCTTTTAGAGGGATACAATTTGAAAAAGTAGATTGTAGTACCATCAAGTTGGTTTGACTCATAGTGACCTTATATTAGGGTTTCTAAGGAGTGACTGTTGAGTTTGAACCAGTAACCTTGTGGCTAACAGTCCATTGCTTATGCTGCAGCACCACACCAGGATTTCAGAAAAGTAGATAGCAGGATAAATTATGTGAGGATTAGAAAAAAGAAGTAAATTTTAAAAAATAACAAAAGAACACATGTGTCTGCGTTCTTGACTTTTTCTAATAACACTTCACCTATGGATGTCAAATGAATTGTATTGCATTTAAATGAAGTGGCAAAACACAAGAGGAACATATGTACATTCAAATGAAGTGGCAAAACACAAGAGGAACATATGTACATTCATTATACTACATGTAATCACCGTAAAGAAAAATGTACGTTCTGTTCTTCCCAGACTCACTTTAGTGTCAGTTGATGAGAGTGGTAGTAAAGAGAAACTGGGAAAGATTATTTTTCACTGTTTACTACTGACACTGTTTTTGACTAAAAGCATAGAATTTTACTAAAGGTTTTCACTGATTCAGCAGACAGATTGAGTACGTATTGTTGATGTTTGAATCCGAGAACAAAGGAAATGTGAAGGTGAAATGTGTTTTTCTGTCAGTTAACTGCTGTGTAGAGGGATGGTTGTTGTTACAAGCTGTCAACTTGATTCTAACTCACAGCAACCCTGCATAGGGTTTTTGAGGAACATTTGGTGGGTTTGAACTGCTGACCTTGTGGTTTGCAGTCCTCTGCGTATCCTGCATCACCATACCAGGACTCCTGTTAGAGAGATTAGTTAGTGCCTTTTTAAGAGTTCCACATTACTTGAAGTCATATTATTGGTCCATTTTGAGAGTTCAGTAAGAATAGTGATGAGGCAGTGGTAAGTGATGATAGTACTTCTGAGTGGTAATAAACATCCTAAAAGAATTGATTTCATGCTTTGCTATTTAATTAAGTTGTTGTTAGTGCTGCCAAGTTGGTTCCGACTTATAATGACCCTGTGTAGGGTTTCCAAGGAGCGGCTGGTGAATTTGAACTGCTGACCTTGAGGTTCAAACAGACTTTACAAGCCCTCTTGGCAGTGTTGGGTATTATTAACTAAATATGAACAATTAAAGGAGTCTGGTAGTGTAGTAGTTGCCAGTCGGGCTGCTAATCTCACAACCAGCAGTTTGAAACTACCAGTGGTTTCGTGGGAGAGAGATGAGGCTTTTTCCTCCAGCAAAAATTTATAGCCTCAGAAACCCTGTACAGGGTCACTATGAGTCAGACACATAATCACTCCAGGACATACAACCACTACCAAACACTCAAGAAGTGAGTTTTCCTGATAGAAGTAACAGCAACTTCAAATAAGTAAATATTTTACTTTTAAATAATGATCTGTGAGAAGAAATAAAGACTTCCTTGGGTTGAGATAATTTACCTATGAGAGGGGAAAAAAAAATGCAGAATTAATCTTTTGGGAGCCAAAGGAAAAATTACTTCTTTGAATAAAAAGGTAGAATCTTTTTAAGTGAAATGGATATTTTCATTGTCAGTAATCTTAAAAGGAGGTTAATACTGGGTTTAAATGAAGTTTTCACTTATTTCAATGACTGGGATAAAGCATTACAGACACTTTAACCCTTTCCTTTGTAATCTTAAAACTCCATCTCTCACTTGTTTACTTAAGAAATATGACCTAGTTGTAGGTCCCACAATTGAGAGCTTTTCTGAGTCAACCTCACTTTAGCTATTTATGCATTCCATTCATTGATTTAATACGTAATTATTGGGCTTTGTGTAAGGTGTACTACATATACTGGTATTCAAATAGGATGTCCTTTGGCCTATATGGAACTTAAAATATAGAGGGAGACATGTTTTTAGCATGCCAGTTGTCTTGCATCTGCTTAAGGTTGCTAAACTGAAGGGGTTCAGCACACATGTGACCTGAGCAACCCTCTTACTCTGGACTTTGAAACATTTTATTGTTTTTTGTTGTTGTTAAGTGCCATTGAGTCAGTTCTGACTCATAGTGACTCGTGTATAGAGTTTCTGAGAAGCGACTGGTAAGTTTGAGTCACCAATCTTGCAGTTCAAACTGACCTTTTGGTCTAGTGCATTTTCCTACAGTGCCACGCCTAACTAGTATGAAAAGGGTTACATATATCATACTTAAGGAGCTTTGGTAGCATAGTGGTTACGAGTTGGGCTGCTAACCTCAAGGTCAGCATTTAAAACTACCAGCTGTTCTGTGGGAGAAAGATGAGGCTCTCTTGGAAACCCTGTACAGGGTCACTATGAGTTGGAACCGACTCTATGGCACACCACCACCACCACCATCATAGTATATTAAGATGTGTAGAGAAGTGCTTCTCCTGCCCTCGTTCCCTAAGCTAGGGGTCATATGAGTGAGTGTAGTATGAGAAGCCGGGACACCAGGTTGTGGGAACTTACAGCTCTCTGGTTTTGTCCCTGGCTTCATGATTATCCTCTGGGGAAAATTGTCAAATTTTAACTGATTTTAAATTTCTTCTTTGAAAAAAATGAAGTATTGGGCCATTAGATGATCTCTTAGTACCCATCCCATTGATTGTTGTGGGAATTAACTGGCATAGTATTTGTAAAGTACTCAACATATAATACCTGGTGCTAATAATACTAAAAATAACAAATAGTTTTATAGCCTGTATTCAGTGCCAAGTGCTGTTCAGATCATTATATCTTTATTAGTTCATTCAATCAACTTACGATGTATTTTACAGGGAAGGACACTGAGCAGAGAGGCTAGATAACTTGTATCATGTGACTAGGAAGTGACTCTTAGTGGTTGTTATTGTTAAGTGCCTTTGAGTTGTTTCTGACCCATAGTGAGCCAGTATAGGTTTTCTGGGGAGTGACTGGTAAGCTTGAACTGTGGACCTTGTAGTTCAAACCAAGTTTGCAGTCCAATGGGTTAACCCACAGCACCACACCAGGACTCCAGGAAGTGATTCGTAGCCCACACTGAATCAGAGTTGTTGTTGGTTTTTGTTGTTGATGCCATGTTGCTTCATGTTTTTCTTTTTTCTTTCTAGGTGTCATTGAAACAGCAGATAGACTGGATCGTGAGCTGACCTCTCATTACTGGTTAACCGTCTATGCAACTGATCAGGGGGTTGTCCCTCTTTCATCATTTATAGAGATATACATACAGGTTGAGGATGTCAATGACAATGCCCCGCAGACGTCAGAGCCTGTTTATTATCCAGCAATAATGGAAAATTCTCCCAAGGATGTATCTGTGGTCCAAATTGAGGCATTTGATCCAGATTCTAGCTCCAATGATAAGCTGGCATACAAAATTACAAGTGGAAATCCACAAGGATTCTTTTCAATACATCCCAAAACAGGTATGTGTGCGTACTTTTACATAAAATGTTCATTAATACTTAGAGTCTCCTGATATGGGCATAGTTAATATTTAACACTTATCTGTTACATACTTTGATGCATTTTCCCTTTTAAATTATTCAAAACAAGCCTTAATTCCAGATGTTCAATTAGACCAGATATGTTTTTTCTTGAACTTGCTTTCATAAGACTTTTTAATGGTTTTACCTATCAATGGGGTTCCATTTTCAGGTTAATAAGCAAATATTGTTTCAGTAATAGGTCCTAAGTTAGTGCTGTATTTTAAGCCTACTGCAAATTTTAGTGCTGGAAGTATTTAAATTGTCTTAACTCTGTTTCTTATGAAATTGTTTTATAATTTAAAGCTGTTTATGTTGCTGTTAAATTTATCTATAGAGCACTGGTGTTGCGCTTCAGGAAGTGAGACATTGGGTTTAAACTATTTTCAGACTGGGAGTGGTAACTTTCTTATATTGACACTGCAAGCCTTTTCCTTCTAACTTTTTTCTCTCCATCTATGAGCCCATGCTTCAAAATGGATGGTTCCTTTACCCTATATCCTGTTCCGGAATCCTTACAGACATTTAATCATCATTCTTTTATATTTGGTCATATATTTTTGTAATTTTCTTAGTTATTAGTTCTCTTTTTAGCATCTTACAAGCAAAACAAATGTTAAAAAGTAGCATTCATTTGTGTTGGGGACTGTGATGACTCAATAGTGGAAATCTTACTTTCATGAAGAAGATGCAGATTTGGTTCCCTGCCAGTCTTATTTCATGTGTAGCCGCCACCCATCTGACTGTGGAGACCTGTTGCTGTGATACTGAGCAAGTTTCAGTAGAGCTTACAAAGACAGACAGACTCGGAGGAGAAAGGCCTGGTGAGCTAAATCTGAAAATAAGCCAGTGAAAACCCTGTGGATCACAACAGTCACATCTGTAATAGGTCATGGGGATGGGATGGCGCAGAACCAGACATTGTTTTGTTCTTCTCTGCATGAAGCCACTATGAGTGTTGGCCTGGACCTGGCTGACTGACAGCTGCTAATAACATCACTTGTATAGGGAAAACTTACTATTATCTGTGCAAAGAAACCTTCACATGTGGAGTATCATAAACTTTAATTTCGTGATCAGAACTAAAATAAAACCCATCAAAATGATATTAAGAGATAGTTTATTTACTTTTACTCTTTCTTTTTTTTTTTTTAAACCAAAATTTATTTTTATTTGAAACAATATCCAAAGGGTCTTCAAAAGTTCCAAAGATATCTAGATTTATTAAAACATTATAGTCAAATGCTGGCTCTTGCTGCCTCCATTTCAAATTGCACAATCTAGGTATTTCTAGGTCTCTTAACATTGAAGATTTATCTTCACAGAAAGTAGTTTTATCTGTAGAGATTATCTAATAGGAATGGAAGTCTTTTCACAACAGAAACATCAACACCCCCTTCAAGATGAAAACTGAGAGGCACTTTGTAGGGAAATGAAACTATTTATTAAATTTACTACTGTCCTCAAACCTGGATATTTGGCAGTTCTTTAATACTTGTTGGTAGATGTAGAATCTAGCAAAATTCTGAAGAGGTGGTTTTATAAGGTAATTTGCAAATATGCCCAGTAGGCTAAGCACTGGACCTCTAGCTGCAAGGTTGGTAGTTGAAACCCACCAGCTTCTTCACAGAAGAAAGATGAGATAGACTTTCTGTTCCTGTAGGATTTACAGTCTCAGAAACCCTATATTAAGTCTCTGAGTCAGAATTGACTCCGTGGCAGTGGATTTATCATAGCACTGTAGGATAAGCACTGGACTGCTAGCTACAAGGGTGGCAGTTCAAGCCCTCCAATGGCTCTATGGTAAAAAGATAAGGCTGTCTGCTTCTGTAAAGATTTTCAGTCTTGGACACTGTATATAGGGTTGCTGTGAGTGGGAATCCGCGATGGCAGTGGGTTTGATATCCTGTTTTTAAGAAGCCTTAGGGCACAGTGGTTAAAACACTGAGCTGCATGTGGAGAGATGGAGCAGCTGGGGACTTTAGACCCAGAGAGGGAGCGGGGCTGTGTGCTGACAACCGGGGAGGCAGGCTTGTAGTGTATACCCTTTGGTTGGTTGATGATGCATGGAGGTGATTGTAACCATGGCAATGAAACGATATACGATAGGATGAATATAAAACTAATGTTCTCCCTTGTAAACTATCACATAATTCACAATCAAACATTAAAACAAAAACTAAAACTAAAAAAACCCACTGAGCTGCTAACTGTAAGGTTGGTGGTTTAAATTCATCAGCTACTCCATGGGAGAAAAATGTGACAGTCTGTTTTTGTAAAGATGGTTGTTGTTAAGTGTCGTTGAATTGGTTCCCACCCGTAATGACCCTGTATAGGGTTTCCGAGGAGCATCTGGTGTGCTTGAACTGCCGAACTTGCAGTTTAGACGACTTTGCAATCCAGCGGATTTACCCACAGTGCTGTACTTCCCTAGGAAACCTTACTGGGGCAGTTCTACCCTGTCCTGTGGATCGCTATGATTCAGAATCAACTTTGATTGCAACTTTTTTTTTAATCCTTTTTTATGCTGTCATTCTAATTGCTAGTTTGATATGCCAAGGAAATAAGATATATACATCAAAATTAAGGAAGCATCCTCAGCTTCCTTATCAGTCTTCGTTATTTACTTTTTTTGGGTACCATTTTTATGTCATAAGCTTTGTTGAGTTTAAAAGGAAGCAGTTTTTAAGGTGAAAAGCAGCTTGATTTTAAGGGTTGTACCCAGTGACTCTGGGGCTGTAGGATAAGCACTGGACCACAAAGTTGCTTTGAACCATGAGGTTCGCAGTTCAAACTCACCAGCCATTCCTCCGAAACCCTATGCAGGGTTGCTGTGTGTTGTAATCAATTCAACATCAACGATTCAGTGCCTGTAGGAAGGTACCTGGTAGTGATCAGGTATATGTAATGTTTGTCTCATGAAGAAATGTGTTATAATGTTGTTTTTTAAACCTCTTGTCAGCATATTTCTACATTCATATAGACTGCCTTTCTTGTCAGATAAAAGTAAACATTAGTCTAAAATTTATTTTGAAGGCGTGAGTGTTTGTTTTACTTTGAGACAAGATGGTTAGATTCTAGCCCATTGTTGGAGTACTCTGATACACTCCTCTAGTAGAGAAGTGGAGGAAGATTTGAATTTTTAGAAAACTAGTAATTGATTTTTAAAAATAATTGAGCCTTATAATAATTTAATGATACAGGAGAGAAATTTATAATGTCTTTGTTTTGGAAGCATTTGAGGTAGAATGTAAAAGGACCCTAAGGTTTAGAAAAAGGGCTGGAATTAACAGATTACACAACATGTAAGACTTAAAATAGCATCTGTAAATGATTAATAAATAGCATCTGTAAATGATCAGGAAAAGAAAACTTGTTTTAGTTGTATACAGTTTACACTGAACGCGAGTGGTAACCAAGTTTGGCCTCGCTTTTTTTGTGATATGAAAAGGAAGAGACATAGACCTAAGAGCTACACAATTAGAAATGGAATCTGTTGTCGTCGAGTTGATTCTGACTCATGGCTATTTTATGTGTGTTAGAGTAGAACGGTGCTCAGTATGATTTTTCTCTTGTCAGTCCTGCAGAAATGGATCGCCAGGTCTTGCACAGCACTGCCGGGGAAATTCCAGCCCCCAACCTATAGATTGTAGTAGTCGAGTGCAAACTGATTGTGCTATGCAGGGACCTTAAAGAAAAAAGAAAACATCTGAAATTGTAGATGGTACTGTCAGATATGAAAGGAGAGTTGTAAGAATTATGGGGGACGATTGCAGCGCCAAGAAGCTATGTTCATTATATTATATGCCACACCTTGAGGGAGAAAGAAATCTAGGAGTAAAAGGCTTTGGGTGACAATTCAGGAATGTATCTACCTGATGCATGGAAGGGATTGTCATTATTGAAATGAAATATGATAGGATGAATGTAAAGCTAATGTTCTCCCATGTAAACTATCACATAATTCACAATAAAAACTTAAAAAAAAGTATCTACCTCCATTTCAATTTGTTTGATGAATTAGACTTGAAAATATCATAGTTCTTATCTCTTCTGCCTCTCCTTTAGATTAGATTAAGTCCTTTAGTGTAAGTCCTATATAAAGAAACAGGTGAGCAAGCAATAAATGCCCTTTTGAGTATCTGAGTAAACTGTATGTATGGGGACATGCTTGAAGACATAGAGTGAGGGGAAAGTGTCGTTAAGAAACTATGTACGTTAGAACTGTTGTGGGGAACCTTGAAACCTCGGTTCTCCCTGAGATCTGAACTGATGGTTATCACTCTATGGTGTTATGTGTTACTGTAGAAACCTGGTTTATGTGGTATCACCACTTCCTTTTAAGTCCCTTTTCTGACAGCTCTTACGAGAGATGTTTGCAGAGACTTCTAAACCCTTACTTTTCTTCAATGAGAATAAATCCCCTGTAGGAGTACATACAGGTGTTCCCAAACCTCTGGCTGGAAAGCCCAGACATCCTGCTGGAGGGACAGCAGGAGTAAATTCATTAGAGTTTGCAAAGGGATTTTTTTGTTGTTGTTGTTTTCTTTCTGGGAGCATAAGGCAGGGAGTAGTGGAGAATAACTGTCATTAATACATAAGGATATTTGTTGTGAATGCATGTTATATACTGTATGTATGGTTAGTAAGGAAATCTGGCCAGTCTACAAATCACCCTAAGTCTCTAGAGATCAAGCAATAATCATATTTTGGCTTGGACATTATTAAAGAGTATTGTAAATATGTAATTGCAGGATATTTCTTTGGATGGTTCTGCACCTCTAGCTCAGCATACAATTTGGGAGTGATCCTCAGGTTGCAGTGTGTGCAGACTTTAGTCTTCCACAAAACCTTCCTTTAAAGCAGACTGACTTTTAATAGGTAGATTAGTATGACTGGGGGCCAGATTGTGAAAGCTGATGAGATTGAGCCTGGTAGAA